ATTATTACTTCAATGACATGTTTTAACTGCTTTCACAATTACCGTTGATTTAATCAAACAATAATTACATTTTTTTAAAATAAAAAAACAAAAACAAAAACATCACCAGGACAATCAAACAAGAGAGGATCATAGAAATACTTTAAAATATTACACGTAAACACAAAATAACCATTTACCGTAACAACAACAACAACAACAATAATAGTAAGATTAATAATAATAATAATACATAAATACAATAATGATGATAATGATGATCTGTTTTTCTGTCCGTTTCTCTTACGATGAAGATAAGGATCCTGATGACTTTGAACCAGTTATTCCAGAGGACCCTCTCCTCAAAGAGTTGGTGTTCTTAGCCCCTAGTGCGTGCCAGCGACTGATCGGGTTCCTCGGGTGAGAGACCATCTCCTGCCAGTGCTGTCTACCCGAGGGATGGTTAGCTCCTTCTCCTAATGTGAAGAACCCCATCAGGTCGTTACGGCCAAGACGATCATAATCCATGACTGAGACCTCAAGTAGTATGAAGCTGATGTTCATGTCAGTTACATCAAATTGGAACTGTTCATTATAAATAGGGACTAGTGTCTTCTTCTTTATAGTTGACTTCCATTTGGCCTGCCTGGTCCCTTTGTGGAGCAGATATATCTTGACATATGGGTCTGAGAGAGAGAGAGAGATGAAAGAGGGTCATATAAATTGAAAGTACACGGCTACACACATTATTAATACATTTTGCTACTCATCATTAACATAACATGACTACAGTACATGACTGTGGAGTAGAATGTTGTTTACCATAATCACTACCTTACAACTTTTACTCATAAACTAATAGACTGTATATTTATTATAACCCCCACCCTCTCTCTCTCTCTGTCCCATTCCTAATGAGTTATTGTGTTATACAGTTTGACTCCAAGTCAGTTTCCTTTTTAAATATAATTATGATATTAATTTGGCTCAATACTTCATTCAATACATGAGGTAGTCTAATAAATCCCTTTATAGGTATAACTAGACACAGCAACTACACAGTCAGTTACTAATAAACTACACAGTCAGTTACTAATAAACTACACAGTCAGTTACTAATAAACTACACAGTCAGTTACTAATAAACTACACAGTCAGTTACTAATAATCTACACAGTCAGTTACTAATAAACTACACAGTCAGTTACTAATAAACTACACAGTCAGTTACTAATAAACTACACAGTCAGTTACTAATAAACTACACAGTCAGTTACTAATAAACTACACAGTCAGTTACTAATAAACTACACAGTACATGTACAATGACATTATGTTAGTGTACCACTGAGCCTGTTGTTGAT